AATAAAGATTAGAGTTCTCACCCCCATCACAGAGTCTGCCAAAGAAATGAGAACTGAAGAGCAAGTGACAACTTAATATCTTCAAGTGAAGCCTTTACAAGTTTGGCATCTGGCAACAAACTTGGGAACACTAACACTGCCAGGGCTTTGCTTGGCTCTTCAGGAACAGCAAGGAAGGGCTTAAAAAGAACTTCAAGTCTGTTATGAACTTGAGAAATAAGAAAAATTGCTGTTAACCCCTGGGATGCAAAGCTCATCTAGCCCTGTGTGGCCAGAGCAGGGTAAGCACCCTGGGTTTGCTTCCCTCAACTGAGCACTTCTCCATTCCTGTAAGGAATGATTTTGCCACACGAGCCCAGGGTGATGAATAAACTGCAGGTCTGTTCAGTTTTCACTTTGTACTTCAGGAAACATTTTAATGACTTTTGTCAGGCACAGAGCAGCACAGGAACCTCTTCTTCAGCAAACAATGAAAGCAGCCAGAACACAGGCTTACAGAAACCTCACCTCTAGGTGTAGTGACTAAAACTACCTAGAGCAACATACAGGAGAAAGCTGATCTTTCAGAGCCATTACTCTCACCAGACACCTTTTTTTTTTTCCCTTTTAAAGTGAACACGACCACATTTTATCCACCCAGACTGACAATCATTTTTGTTGTAGGTAAGGCACAAGGTATTAACAATAATCACCGGGTAATACACGGGGGCGGTGAAACAAAGAGGCTAAAAATGGTCGAATTTGGTTAACTTGCAGGATGCTGGACAGAAGAACTCAGGACACACACAAGTTCCTCTGCTGGAATGGATAACCCAGGGAGGGAGAAGCTCTGCTCATCTGCAAGCACCGGCCGGGTCAGGACACCGGGACAGACCCAGGGCACAAGGTTTGAACCTTCCCTGCTCACAGGGAGCGCTCCCCAACTCACCCACCAGCCGCCCACCCTGCTCACCCCGAGGATGCTCGGGGTCGGGAGGGTGCCATCCTCGGGGGTGACATCCTTGGGGTGACATCCCCGAGCACTCGCCCGCGGCCTGAGCCACAGGGGCTGGGAGGAGGCGTTATCCTGCCCTTCCCGGGCAAGATGAAAGCAGGAAAAACCAACCCGGCTGCTGTAATAAAATAAAATATCCCCTTCACCGCGGGAGGTGCCGGAAGGAGGGACAAAAGAGGGCGAGAGGCGCGCAAGGGAACAGCCGGCTCCGGGAGCGGGTACCCCCATCCCCGGGGCCGGCTCCATCCCCGGAGGGGTACCCCCATCCAAGGGCTGGGTACCCCCAGTGCGGGGCTGGCTCCATCCCCGGAGGGGTACCCTTATCCCGGGGGAACACCCTCATCCTGGGGCTGGGTACCCCCAGTCCGGTGCTGGTTCCATCCCCGGGGCCGAGTACCCCCATCCCTGGTGGGGCACCCCCATCCCGGGGCCAGCTCCACCCCTGGAGAGGGTACCCCCATCCCCGGGGCCAGGTCCATCCCTGGGGGGTACCCCCATCCCGGGGCCAGCTCCACCCCTGGAAGGGGTACCCCCATCCCCGGGGCCAGGTCCATCCCCGGGGGGTACCCCCATCCTGCGGAGGGCACCCCCATCCCGAGGCCAGCTCCACCCCCGGAGGGGGTACTCCCATCCCGGAGCCGGGTACCCCCATCCCTGGTGGGGTACCCCCATCCCCGGGGCCAGATCCATCCCTGGGGGGTACCCCCATCCTGCGGAGGGTCCCCTCATCCCAGGGCCAGCTCCACCCCCGGAGGGGGTCCCCCCATCCCGGAGCCGTGTCCCCCCATCCCGGGCGGGCTCCATCCCCGGGGTGCCAGCGGAGCGCGGCGATGCGCGGGGCGGGACGGGGGGGTGGGGGGGGTCGGGATGCGGCGGGAGCGACCTCACCTCGCTGCGGGTGATGCGGTGCCGCGCCAGCTTCACCACGGCGAAGTTGCCCTTGCCCAGCGTGCCCTCGATGTCGTAGAAGCCGACGCGGACAGGGCCGAGCCCGCGAGGCAGCAGCGCCGGGGGCCGCCGGGGCTCGGCCATCACCATGCTGGGCTCGGGGGGCGGCGGCGGCGGCGGCTCGGGCTGCTCGGGGTCGGTGCTCGGCGGCCCCGGGGCCGCGCCGCCCCCTCCGCCCGCTCCGCCCGTCCCTCCGCCGCCGACGGACCGACACACGGACACCGAGCGGCGTCACCGCGCGCGTCACCGCGGGCGGGGGCTCGCCATGGAAACCGGCGGCGTGCCCGCCCAACGGGGCCGGGCACGGGGTGGGGACAGAGCCGGGAGAGGGGACGGGGAGGGACGGGGGAGAGCGCAGGGGATGGGGAGGGGATGGGGAAGACGGCAGGGGGTGGGATGGGATGGGGAAGAGGACGGGATGGGGATGGGATGGGGAAGAGGACAGGGGATGGATGGGGATGGATAGGAATAGGGGTGAGAAAGAGGATGGGGATGGATGTGGATAGGGATGGGGAAGGGGATAGGGAATGGAATGGGGAGGGATGGGGTGGGGATAAGGATAGGGATGGGGACAGACATG